AGGGCCTCCTGTCTCTACAGAACGGCGTAGTGCGGGTACAGGGCTGCGGGTGGTCAGGGCCTGACAGAACCCCGCACCTCGCACATATATTGATTCCCATGGGAGAGCTTAGGTCTGACGGCTTCCAGGGGCCAAAGAGAAAAGTGGTTGGGGTGCCAGGCCCTCTGGGAAGCAGAGGGGATGCTGGTCTGAGTTGGTCCCCAGAAACCCATCCCCAGCAAAGTCCCATCTTCATCTGTGTGTCCCTGTCCACACCCACCCCTGCTGCCACCATCAGGTCTAGAATAGGACGTGTAGGAGCACCTGCTCACACATTTGCCGCGATCCTCAGTCCTGATACCCAGGGGCATGGAAGGTCGGGGAGGGCTGTGCCCGGGTCTTTTAGGAGAAAACTGTCAGTAGGAAGACAAGACTCACACAGTCTCTGTGTTAAACGGTTTCACAATCTGGCCTGTCATTGCCAGGACAGACACACAGGGGTTGGGGGTGGTGTGGTGCTGTCCCCTGGATGGCAAGCACAGGGGCATAGACCCAAAGGAGGGCGCCGTGGGAGAGTAGTGTGCGAGCCAAGGCCAGGCCCATGACTACTGACCAACCGGTGCCCTCCCCCGGCCCCAGGACCATGCTTTTCATGATGGGAACCTGGCTGCACCAGGTGCAGGATGTTGGCCAGCCCCTGCGCTTTCCCTGTTGGAGGCTGAACTTGACCTTCCTACCCATCCGCTTGGTCAGGCCTGCTGGGTCATGGCCACAAGCTTCAAGTCCACCTTCAGCATCTAGTGTTCATGGGGCAGAGCGAGAAGCAAGGGGACTGCAGTCTGGGATGATAGTCCGGGGTGGGGCCAGGGGCGAGGGTTCCGTCTAAGGCGATAGCATCTTTCCTGACTTTGGAAAGCCTCGGGGAAGCCAGGCACGTCCACACCAGTGCCAGCGCCGCAGCAAAGGCCAGCCCCGGGCTAGAGCCAGCTCCAGCTCTAATCCTGCCACCTGTGTGAGGGCCGGAGACAGTGTCACCTGTGTTGTCCCTGCAGGTGGCTGAGTAGTTGACTCTGATGCACGCAGTGAACCTCTTAGGGCAGGCGGGCTGGTGTTCCTTCTGACGTCAGCTGTCCCAGACCTGCATGCCCTGACATGGAATCCATGATCTGGGCCCGCATCCCAGTTCCTTCACTTACTTGCTGTGTGACTGAGGCAACTTTCTTGACCCCCAAACCCTTCGTGTCTACACGGGGACAATAGAGCTGGACACTCAGAGCGCCTGCCAGGCAGAAGGGCCGAGCAGATCAATGAGGTGAGTGAGGCCCCGCCTGCTGGTGGGGGAGGTCAGCTCACTGAGGTGCTGCCTGATCCTTGGGTGTCTCACCCATTTGCTCAGGAGATGTCAACAGCCTGAGCACATATTAGGCACCTTATGTGTACTTGTCCACATGGGAGACAGACGATCATAGCCTTTAGTTTTATCTGCTGCAAGGGAATGTGCATCTGAATGAGGAGTTGGATCAGAACGGTGATCAGCTTGGGAGGAAGATGCCACTCAGGATGAACAGGTGCTTGGAGGAAGTGAGGCTGCACTGGTGTGGATGCCACTGTCCCTTCCCAGCCAGTTTTGGGTCCTGTGTCATTCTGTGCTGGGCACCCTCAGTGGAAGGGATTTCTGAAAGGCTCAGGTCACACGTTCAGCTTCATGAACGCCAGCTCTGTTCAGTGACTCTGTCTGGAACTGTGGGGAACTGTGACGCTGAGCTGGGGTTGCCAGGGCTGGGTGACATTTCCTGTCCTCTCTGGGATCTGTTCCAGGAGGTGGTGCCCCACCACTGCCTGGGCTCCATCTGTCCTCAAGGGACCTACAGGGGCAAAGAACACCTGTACTCGCCGTTTGTGCCACTGTCTCCCACGTCAACAGCGTGGTCAGTTGTGTCATTTCTACCTTTCTTGGGGACCTGAGCATGATGGCGTAGGACGGGGATAGGGTAGAGGAGCTGTGGATCAAGGTGGCACAGGTGTGCCATGGACAACCCAGGGAATCCCTCTCTGGAGTCAGGGGAACTGCACATCTTTCTTTGCTCTCAAAACTGAAATCTGGGGTCTGACCCCTGCATAGTCCCGGGCCCTTCCTGCCAGAGCCATGCTGACCTCGACTCCCAGTCCCAGTGCTGGGAGGCTTGCTTCCTACCAGCTCCTTCCTTGGGCTGAGCTAGAATTCTCCCTCCTGGGAGGGTTACTCCTCAGGTCCCAGGTGTGCCCTCTCTCGGCTCTCTGTGTCACCCAGGACAGGAGGAGTCAGCGAGGGGACAGAAGCCACAGGCAGCAGCGTGCTCTAGTTCCCCCCTCTCAGCCGAGCCCTCGGGGACTTCTCCTCCTCACATGTCGTTGCATCTGGTCGGCAAAGGCCCTCGCTTCGCCGTCTGGAGAAGGCCTGGGACAGTGCCCTGGTGTGTAGGCCGCTCTCCGTCCGAGCTCCCGGGTGGACCAGGAGCCCCTGTGTCACTGGCACTGCCCTCAGTCAGCTGGGACCTCCTGGGAGGCAGCAGGCTGGGGGCGGGGCCTGACCTGGTTGGCGGGGTCTCTGGTTCTCCCCGGACTTTAGGTCAGCGGTCCTGCTTCAGGAACCACATTCATTAAACGTCAGACCCCGAGCTGAGCCAAACGGGAGATTTTCAAGTGTATCTTTTGCATCAGGAGAACTTTGTCCTGAAACCAACGCTGGTCGAAACAGATCTGCTTTGTAGAAGTGGGAATGGAGGCCCCAGGTAGCAACATGAGCGTCCCCTGCTCAGTCCCACGAGACCTCCGGGCTCAGGGGACCCAGTGAAACCCTTGTCTAGGCTGGTCGGATCTTCTGGCTACTTAGATAAAAGCGATTTGCCTTTTAAATAAAAGGGTGCCTGTGGGGGAAGGGCCCCAGAATAGAGCGGAGGGGGCAGCTCTGTCCCAGCCTGAGTTCCCCTTCAGAGAACGGGCCTTCCCTCTCCAGCCCAGCGCCCTCCTGGTGCCGCGGAGCCTGCAGGCCTGCGTTGGGTGTTACCAGGCGGCGGCCTGGAAGAGCGGGGGCGGGGGTGGGGGGAGACAGGGGGCAGCATGGGCCTGCGGTTGGAGGGCAGGGGCCACTGACCCTGGGATTGGTTCAAAGCTGGCTCTGGGGGTGACTGGAGTGGTTCTGGTGCCCGGGAGGGGAAGAGAAGGCGAAATGAAGAAAAGGCTACTAAGGGTCCTAGGCGGGTCGGTGTGGGGACCCAGGAGTTGGGGTGGGGGCAGGAGGCCAAGGCTGAGTGGCTACAGAAGAGGGTCCACGGGGGCCCTTGATAGCCAGGCTCCTCACCGCCCGGCGCTGATGGCACAGGGCGCCGTCCTCCTCCTCGAGCACCATCCTCACTTACCTGCAGCTGCTGGACCCTGTGATGGACGACTGTCAGGGGGCGAGTGAGTCTCAAGGTGGGGATGAGGGGTCAGGATTTGGAGATTTGGGGCGAGAGAACCCCACACTGAGACCTTAGTTGTCAATACTAAGCAAACCTCAACCTCAGTCTCTGTCATCAGAGAGGGTTGGGCTGGACGAACGCTGGCCTGAGTCACCCTGTCCTTCCTTCTTTAGAACCCAGAGGCTGGCCCAGGTCCACACCTGTTACTGGGTGTGCCCGCCCCCTGGTGGTCCCTGGCGGTATTGCATCATGAGGGGGCAGGGATGAGGGCTAACGATGGGCTAAACTGGGTGTTTAGAAAAAAAAAAAAATCAGAAAAAGTTCAGAAAACAGTTCTGAAAAAAGTTCTTTTACAGCTGTCAGCCTGGGGAAAAAATCTTAGAAAGGTGTCACAATGACTAGGGTTGAAATTTTAAATAGGTAGCAGTTGGGTACTCTGTTTTGCTTTTTTTTTTTCTGGCAGAACTATCACGTGTTACAACATTGGGAAAACAAATCTGAAGACACCTATAAATACTACAAGTACTGTGTTCTCTAACTCACGGTGCCTCAGCCTCTGCAGGATCGAAATCCTGGGCCAGGTCTTTGTCTGTAGTGGGGCTCTGCAGGATGTTTAGAGTATCCCTGGACTTTACTGACACCTTCCTTGTGACAGCCAGAAATGTCTCCAAAGATTGCTCAGTGTCCCCTTGGGGAACAGTATTGTCTGTGTAGAATGAGTTTTAATACAACAACCTCAAAATATTTTTGTATAATTGTTATAATAGCAATGTATTGAGAAGTGTATGCTAGGCTTTCAAGTGTGACTAGCAGAGCTAAACCGTGGACTATTATGTAAACATGGTAATAATGAATCAGCATCACACTAGTTGATTGGAGAGAAGGCCATAGGAATTGTTGAGTAAGAAGGAGGAGTGGACACATAGAAAAAAAGACTGTACAACACATAAAGAGCATCGCTGATGGTCAGGATGCTGCTCATGCATTTGTATACAAGCATTTGAGTGTGTATGTGTGCATAACATAGGAAGAGAAGTTTAAAAAAATCTAAGAACATATGGTAAAGAGATCATCAGTAGGAGTGAGATTAGGTTAAAAATACGTTTCAAAAGAAGTTTATGAACAAAATCGGCTGAGTATCTAAAATTAACTTATAGAAAGACATAAAATAATATTTTAAGGAGATTAACATGGGTCGCGAATCCCGTAGATTTCCAAGGACTTGGAAATCAAAGAATATAACAGAAGGTTTTTTAAAAAAATGATTTAAACTACCAAGCTCTTTTTGGTGTTTATTTTTAAAAAGACTTTATTTATTTATTTTTAGCAAAAACGGAAGGGAGGGAGAAAGAGAGCGAGAGAAACATCAATGTGTGGTTGCCTCTTGTGTGTCCCCAACTGGGGACCTGGCCCGCAACCCAGGCATGTGCCCTGATTGGGAATCCAGCCGGTGACCCTTTGGTTCACAGGCTGGCACTCAATCCATTCAGCCACACCAGCCAGGGATAATAGAAGGGTTTTTAAAAATGCAGAGGAAGCAATCTCTGAGTTAAAATTTCTCATGTAAAGATAGATGGATTTATACTTACCTGGCAGGGGAGATACAATGATCATGAAGGTGGTTTTCCTGGGGGCGAGGCTTATCCATTGCGTTCCAGATGTGCTGACCCCTGGGATTTGCCCAAATGTGGGAAACTTGACTGCAGAATTTGTGGTAGTGGCGGACTGAGTTTATGTTCTTCCCTAAAAAAAAAGATAGATGGATTTAAACAGGATACTTACCGAAGGAAAGGTGATCTTTAGTCAAATGTGAATATAATGGCTGAAGATGTTGCAAAGTTTACAAATAGATGTAATCACAAAAGGCCTCAAGGAACCATAAGGGATAACAGACATAAACACAAGTTAGAGATGTGTATAGAAGATGATTTATTAGCACTAAGTATACAGAAGAACCTTCTGGCATTTGTTCTCATACTTGAAGACAGTGTTCCTAGTTACTCTGTCATTTCAGCTTATTTCAGACAACCTGTATGTATTTATTTCTTTCATTTTCAATGCTCTGGAACAATTAATTTTTTTAAGTGCTGAAAATAATATTAATTTTTAATTTCTCTTTTAAGTGTTCTGACATGATTAGTGTACTTTCTTTTTTAATTTTATTTTTCAATTACAGTTGACATTTAATATTATATTAGTTTCATGTACACAGCATAGTGATTAGACAATCATATGATTTACAAAGTGACCTCCCCCAATATTTTCGGTATCCACCTCGCACCATACTTAGTAACTAAGCTATTATAATAGTATTGACTATATTCCCTATGCTGTACTTTACATCCCTGTGACTATTTTGTAACTATCAATTTGTATTTCTTAATCCCTTCACCTTTTTCAGCTGGCCCTCCAACCCCCTTCCCTTGGGCGACCATTGGTTTGTTTTCTGTATCTATGACAGACAACTGTATTTAAAATCTCTTGTTGGAGGTTCATTTCCCTGTAACCAAGAGAGATTTAAAGGACATGCATGTTTGTGTAGGAAAACTAGTGACTCTGGTTCGCACGAGTGACAGGAACGCGAGCTCTTTCTTCAGTCATTCTTTGATCGTAAAAGATGGGTGGCGTCCTGAGCATGAGGGAGGTGCACGACAGGTAACACTGGTGGCGATCATCCACCATCCCTTCTGTGCTTATGGCAAAATGTGGAAGGGGGAGTATATTGCCTTCATAGCAATGCAAGTAGTCATATTATAGGCAGCACTGGAAGTTTTTAAGCAGACACACAAAGATAGTTCAATAAAAAAAAGAAAATTGCTAATCAGTTCTTCGCCCCATGTATTGTAAACCCCCTTACACGTGGAGACCAATCTTTCATCCTGCTAGATGCAGATCATGAGCAATCACATTTTGCACAGTAATTATACAATTTGGCTTCATGGTATTGAAGTCATCTGTGATTCTAAGGTCTTATTATGTCAACTTTATTAAAATCTGTCGTTCACTGAAGACCTCTGGGAGACATGTATTTGATAATCATTTTGTGAGGGGCTAAGGAGGCATTGTGAACAAGGAGTTGAAGAGGAACAGCTTCCTAATGTGGAGAATAAAATCCAGGGACAGGCTATTAAACACTCTGGTATGTTAGAGTCTTCCTTATCAAGAAGAACAGTTAAGATATAAAGATATATAAAGGAATGTCAGACATAAAAGTGAAAAACAGTGGTCTCAGACTTTCCTGTATTACAAAATTGTATAAATTTCCTTGGTAACTAAGTGTAGTTTTCCCCATAATAGTGCAATTCAGGATGATTATTTTAGTAAAAAAATTATTTGATACGATATATGTCATTTGGGAAAAATTATTCTAAAAAATCCTTGTTGTCTCATTAGGTAAGTGGGATTTTCCAAATACTTCTGATCCATGATGGAAATAAATTTGGGAAAATAGAAAAACACCAAAGGGAAAAGCTGTGGGAGATAAGAGAGAAGAAAGCTTAATAAAATGAGTTTTTGAAATTGAATAGATGAATTAAGGTCAAGGAAATGGAAATTGCAGGAAATGAATAGAAAGTGAAGTTCTACTTCCATAGTCTGAAAGTAATCACAGTATCTGAATCTGAGCCTTTGATCTCTGCAATCATGACCGCTATTTCAGTCTGAGGACAACTGGCCTGTTTGTCATTTCCTTCACAAATAATGCAGTCAGAACCTGTTTGATGTCTCTGTTCCTGAGGCTGTAGATGAAGGGGTTCAGCATGGGTGTGACCACAGTGTACATCACGGAGGCGACTGCACTTGACTGTGAGCTGTGCGTGGCGGCAGAGCTGAGATACACGCCTAGGAGCGTACCATAAAATAAGGAGACAACCGAGAGGTGAGACGCACAGGTGGAAAAGGCTTTACACTTCCCCTGGGCTGATGGGATTGCACGTATGGAGGACACTATCTTGGAATAAGAGTAAAGGACCCCAGCAAAAGGACCACCACCAAGCAGGAGAGCTGAACAATACATCACCATATTATTAAGAAAGGCGTCAGAACAAGCGAGTTGGATCATCTGATTGAGTTCACAGAAAAAGTGGGGGACTTCCAAGGCTGTGAAGGACAGCCTCAATGCCAATAAACTTTGTAACAAGGAATTCAAGATACTTATTACCCAGGATATCAGAACCAGCATTCTGCAGAGATGGGGGTTCATGATGACCGTGTAGTGCAGAGGGTGACAGATGGCCACATATCGGTCATAGGCCATCATGGTCAAGAGAAGTATGTCCAACGCTGCAAAGAGTATAAGAAAATAAATCTGGGTGATGCAGCCTGCATAGGTGATGGCTTTGCTCTGTGTTTGGATGTTCACCAGCATCTTCGGGACGGTGGTGGAGGTGAAGCAGATGTCAGCCAAGGACAGGTTGCAGAGGAAGAAGTACATGGGCGTGTGGAGGCGGGCGTCTGAGCTGACGGCCAGGATGATGAGCAGGTTTCCCAGCACAGTGACCAGGTACATGGAGAGGAACAGCCCAAACAGGAGGGGCTGCAGTTCCGGTGCCTCTGAAAGTCCCAGGAGAAGGAATTCTGCAATTAGGGTATCATTGCCTGGTCCCATGTGGTGGAGGTGACTAGAAGGAAAGAGGAAAATAATATGAGTAATTCATAAAAGTGTGGAAATGCTACAATTTATATTGTCAGTAAAAAAATTAATTTTAATATATTGTGTATAGATATGGTCCCCTTTTGGGAAATTTATGGTGTCACCTGTGATAACGAAACGTTTTTAAAAAAAGTTTTTAAATATTTTTATTGTTACAATGCATTTGTCTCAATTTAGCTGCCACTACTCTCCCCTGCCCCACCCACCCCCAAAACTTTTGTATCAATCATGTTTTCACCTAAGGTATCATGTATTCTACATTTTCAGTGAGACGTTTTTCATGTATTTCAGAAATGTATATTGAATGCAACCATGTTTCTGTGCTGTACAGACTGTGAGCATAGGGTGCTGAAGAACAGAAGTTCCTAGAAGTCAATGATGAATAAGAAGACAAAAGCAAACAATAAGAATATATAACATTTTAGATGGTGACAGGTGGAAGTCAAATAGCGGGGTGCCCATCAATAGATGAATGGGAAATGAATGTGGTGTATGTATATAACATACATATACAGGGTGAGGCAAAATAGGTATGCAGTTGTTCGTATGGATAATAATACTATAATTAATAAGTAATACAAGAATAGACTCTGTGTTTCACATACTGAAAATGTAGAAACAGAAGCAATAAAAAAATGACATCTTGTCACTTGCAACCACATGGATGGGCCTAGAGGGCATTATGCTAGTGAAATAAGTCAGACAAAGATAGGCACATGCCATATTCTTAGTGTAGAATTTAAAACAAAACAAAAGAAAACAAACTCATAGATACACAGAAGAAAGAGATGGTTGCCAGAAGGGCGGGGGAGAGGAAATGGGTGAAAACGGTGAAGGGCAGTAAGAAGTACACACTTTCAATATAAAATAAATAGGCCATGGATATGTGGTGTATTGCCTGGGAATATAGTCAGGAACATCTTATTAAGTTTGGTTGGTGACCAACGGTTACTAGACTCATGCTGGCGATCACCGGGTAGGGTATGTGAATCACTACGTTGTACCCCTGAAATTAATATAATATTTATGCTAACTACATTTTGATAAGAAATAAAAAAAAGTTGTAATTGCTTAAAATATGTTTAAAACATATAAGAGAAAGGAACAAAAAGAGATAAAATGGATGAGGAGGTAAAAAAGATCTAATAAGCTCAGGTTTGAGGAAGAAAAGTCTTCCTTGGTTCTGGCAGCATTTGAACCCTAAACACATTCCCCTGACACCCAGCAAAAATAATGAGAGAACAAAAATAAACTTGTCTAGAGGACAAGAGAGGTGATACCGTCATGTTTCACTTTCCAAAGCAAAAGGATGAACCAACACTTCTGAAAGAAAACATGTGAAGTGTAACAGAAGTTGGTCGTTTTTAAAATCAAGCAGTAGAAGACTTGTGTTCTCTGTACCTATGTTGTAATTATTTGACCAGTTCATTTTTATATGGTTTGACAGGGGTTGAGGTTAGGCCCTTTCTTCCTATTCTTATGTGGCATGTTTTCCATTACTTCTTGGACTTTGGGTTTGATCTCTTTTGTGACAAACCCAGTTGGTGCACCTGGTCCTGGTTCAGACTTTTGTCCAACCCGCAGAACCTCCACAGAGCGCGCTGCATAAACCCTGTCTCTGTCATGACAGCTCTGCCTCTTGGTGCCGAACAGCTTTCTTTTTATGATTCAGCCTAAGGACATTATTTTAAACACACATTTATCTCATTGTTCTCTGCCCTCACAGTTATACTGCATGATGCAAAAGCTCAGGGACCTCACCTGCTTTGTGCACGTTTGGATTTTCCACAAAGGTATGTGAATAGATGTCAACTTGGACAGAAACAAAATTGAGGATATGAAGATGAGGAAATAATGAGACCAAGTTAAAACAAGTAGTTTCAAAACATCTCTGGTAAGCAAAATTGAATGGGAAATCAAATACTAACTGAAACAAGGCATAAAATAGCGATAATTTAATGGTCTCAACATGGTTTATAATTAAACACGCAAAGATGTGGACATAAAAGAATTTACTATAAAACAGTGATAATTTAATGATGTCAACAAGATTTGTAATTAAGCACGAAAGACCTGGAGATAAAGGAATTTACTA